ACTAGGCTAAAGTGTTAGATAGTATTCCAAAATATCCCATTTGTAAAAGAGGAAACGTCTCGATACGGTGTAAGGGTTTGAATCCCAATAATAGTGTTCATATAGCAGTAAGTACAGGACAACATCACAGCTTCTGTTGAATGTCTGCATCGTGCCAGCCAATGTTCTGAGGATTTATGATATCGTGTATTAATCGTAATCCTTAGAAGAGCTTCTGAGTTAGAGAAGTTTACTCCCCTTACATAGATGTGGAGGAGGCTCAGTTCGGGGAAGAGTATGGAAGTGACTTATACTTCCGCCAGCAATGCAGGAAGATGGAAACTGCTGGATTGGGAAATGCTTTTGTACGAAAGGCACAAAAGTGAAATGGCAATGCTCGTGTCACTTGTTGAAAAACAGCTCTGGAGACCATAAATGTAATTCAGTATTTGAACAAAACTCTTAGGATGGTAAGACAGCAGTTTGTGTGAATTCTCCAAATGCTATCATTAAAACATAAGTGATGAAAGTCACCAAAAATTGCTAACTATCCTAATAATATTTATTTAAATTTACTAAATTTATTGCCAATTACCCTAACAGCATATGGTGACTTCTAAATATACAAGTGGAAAAATAGCTAGTAAACGCACAACTGAGTCAGCCTGGAGATAAGTTTCCATTTAAATTTCTTTTATTTTTATTCTCTATATTTTGAGTAATTATGATAATTAGAAAATTAGCTAATAAATTATGAGCCTTTAGAATAAAAAGTCTGTTATTCCTACTTAAGCCAAGAAATGAATTGTGAGCGGTTTCCCTTGTGATCGCCTATTTAAAAAGATATATTGTCCAATCCCTTTTATTTTGTGCCCATTTAAAAGCTGCTAGAAGAAAGGTCTTTGAAATATTTTTTGCCTCCCATTTCTTCAGACCTTGCATTTAAATGTCACGTGCTGTTATTTTCCGCTCTCAGGATGGATAACCCAAGATCGGTGAGCCAAGGAGAGGAAGACGAAGGCTACTGGGGCTTCTTGGGAAAAACAAAAACAAAAACAAAACACTTCTTCCTTTTGCCGAAAGAGAAGCATTCAGGGGTGAAAGGTCTTTCCTAGTTTGGCCCCTTCTTCCCGCTTTAAACGGGGCAGTGTGAGGCTGCGTTCCTTGGATCGTGGGGTCCTTCTCCGAACAGTGAGGTGACAAACCTGGAGGGAAAAGTCACGGGAGATGGGGTGGGGGAGACGGCAGAGTGGAAATGTGTACCCTCAGGGCATCCTTAGGGCGCGTGATCAGACCCGGAATTGCCTCCAGAGTTATGTGACACAATGACATTAATGACAGCACAGGTCGTTGCCAGTGGCTATTCTGTTTCTTGGTCTGAAAACGCAATTCACTAATCTGAGCATGCTACTGTCCTCTGAAGCCTTGCTCCAAAACAAAGTCCAAGGCAGCAATGGAGTGTTTTCCAAAGGCTTCCTTCCACGAAAGTGTCCCTAAAGAGCGCGGGGCGGGGGCGGGGTGTTCCGGCTGAGGGACAGATCTGAGCTGCCAGACTCAGGCAGAGCAGGCGTTCGGATTCCCTTATTCTGTCTTAAAGATGCATGTCGATTTGCACGCTCCTCTACTCAGTCCTCTTGGCCAGTGGGTAAGCTTTGTCCAGCACCCACCTGCTAACGTAGAGAACAGACAGGGCGGAAGAGGGGCACCGCCAGGGGCTCGCGGGGACCCGGCCTCCCCTTGCTCCGAGGAGGGGTACCGCTCCCCCCCCCCAACGCCCCCCGTGTCGAGTCGACCTGACCGCGCCGCCACCTGCCCGGCCCGGCCTGCGGCTGCACCGCGCTCCCCGAGCTGCCCAGCGCAGCGCAGGTAAGGCGCCTTCTGCGGGGCTCCTCTGAACTGGGCTCTACCCTCAGCGTCTCCGAGTCTTTATTTCGGACGGCGAACAGGAGGCACAGGTGCAATGAAACGATGTTCATCACTTTCTGTGAACCCCTCGTTGCTAACCAGCTTCAGAACCTCCGCAGTCGGCCTCCGTCAGCCAGCCCGGACTGGTCCTGCCGCGCGCCCCCGCCGTCCCGCGCGCCCCCGCCGTCTCTCCGGTCAGGCCCCGCCCCGCCCCGCGCGCCCCCGCATCCCCCCCGCCCGGCGCACGCCCCCAGCCTCGCCAACATTCCCGCGCGCTCTCGCCGCGTCTCCCTTCACCGTCAACTTCCTGTAGCCCCAGGCTGATCCCCGCGCCGCCAGCCGCGGCCCAGATCCTCACCAGCCACCGCCCCACCTCCGGCGCGCCCCACGCACGCACGCACGGCGCGGGCCCGAGCCCGTAAGCAGCGCGCAGGCGCACATCGAGCCCCGCGCTTTTCGGAGGCTGCAGGTAGGCTGGGAGGCGGGGGAGCGCGGGAGGGCCCGGGTCGGGGCCGTGGCGGGGGTGGGGGTCGGGATGGGGGCCAGGCCAGGGGTGGGGGGCGCAGAGGGGACGGGGCGTGTGGAGGAGCCGGGCCCCGGCCAGGGGTGCTGCGGAGCGAGCGGGCGGGCGGGAGGGAGCGGGGGTCGCGGAGGGCCCGGCGGCAGGGGCGGGCAGAGCCTGGGCAGGGCTCTACGGGGCCCGCTGAGGGAAGGCGGGCGGCTTGGAGCAGACTCTCGCAGGGTTCGTGCCCGCGGCGCCCGCCGGTTTGGGGAGGTGGTCTCCCGGGGGCGGGGTCGCCCGGACCGTGGGCGGGCTGCTGCTGCGGCGGGGCGCCCACCTCCGTGGAGGGGGTCCTTGCGAGGACTGGGGACGCCTAACGATTGTTCTAGTATTTTCTAAGTGCTGAGGACTGTGGCGAGTGCTTTGCAGACCTTTCAGCCCCCGGGAGCTGAGTCGTGTAACTCTGCTCCTGACGCACAACTTCAGGAATTGTGCTCAGGGTCCCGGCTGGTGGGCGGGTCCCGAGGCCGGTCGGCTTCTGCGAGTTAGAAATTCCTACAAAGGGCTGCCGGCTCGGTGTCTGGCAGGATTTCAGTAGTTTTTATTGCGGTGCATACCCTGTTCTAGGTACTGGGAGAGGATAGATGAATAGAAAACGGGTCCTGCTTGCAGAAGCCAACTGTCCAGTTAGATTCCACATCCTCACAATGAGAAAATTATCAAAATAATAAAAAAAAAAGATTGAAATGCAGTTCATATGTGTTAATGAGCCGCAAATTTTAGGTGGAAGAAATGCCCTATGAAAGTGACTGATGGTAATGGGGACAGTGGCTGTGTCCTTGGCCAGGGCTGGCCACCCAGGTGTTTGCCTGGCCCTGTCCACATTTGCGGGGTAAATGATTGAGTTGACGGGAAGTAGACTTGGGAGGTGAATTTCCGAGAAAAGGATGAAGGTGGAGAGGGAAGGAGGGTGTCTTGGGAACAGTGACAGAGCACTGAGCTGTCGGAGGAATCCCAGGATTGCCGGTGACAAAGGGGGATGAAGCCATGCAGAGGAAGAGGGTGTTCCTCCTGATGAGAAAGGTGGTAAATGTTTTCCAAGTCACCTCTCAGTTCCTCACTTCCAGCATTGCCTAAAAGTCTTAAAAGCTAAAATGGTAGCGTGGAAAGAGGGATGAAGGGCTTGTCAGAAGTCAGTTCTACGTTTGACTAGTTTAATTTTAGCTTTATTGCAGAAGCAAAGTAGAATCTCACTGGGCCTTTCATATTTGTAGGGTCTTAAGGGAGACACAGCTGTATTGTGTACTAAAAGAGCCTACAGATTACTAAGCTATATTTATAGGCAATTTGGGAGGTAGATTTTAAAATACAGGAGTTCTTGGTTTTTACAACACTCCTTTATTGCAATACTCCTAGGAAGCTTAGAAGTTTTCTTACATTTTTCTTGTGGATGGAGTGATAAATTCCACACGTCTAGCAATATGATTACAGTCACCTATAATCCTGGTAAAATAATTTAACTGACTGTAAGGAGGCTTATAAAAATAACTTGAGAGAAGAATCCTAAAGTAAAAGCACTTTACTAGCACACTGTTTAGACTTAAGAGTGTTTATACTTAAGCAGACTTGTTCTCCTATTTCATTTACAAGGTCAGTTTCACTTTTTAATATTTCACGTGAAACTGGAAAATTGTGATTCTGGGGCATCCTGTTTTCGGTGCTCATTGATGAGGAAGTCCTTAAAAACATTTGATAATGTGGCAGTTGTTGAGGATTTTGATCCATGCTGATGTGACCTTCGGTGACAGCACCAAGGAGCGGCTCATGTGTGGTGACTTGCACATTCCCTGTGTGAACGTCCCCGAGGGTGAATCGCAGCCCTGTTGCTTGCTGGCTTTGTGATCTCCAGTGAGCTCCCAGCCTTAGTTTATACATTTGTGTAACAGGCATGAGAATGGTACTTTTCACAATATTTGCATACTCATTATTTGACTCGATTCTTGTGATGATTTCTCTCACTTTACAGATCAAACTGAGGGCCCAGCGATAGAGGCTTGGCAGAGGTCATTCATCTGGTTTTTCTTAGAGACGGAGCTGAACCCCCAGGCTTGGTGTGTCCTGCTTTGTCTGTAGTTCCGTTGCTCTAACGTGTTGCTTTAATTTTGCTGATTAATTTGAAACCCTTTCCATCTAAGCCTTAGCAGTGTTTTCCCCATTTGCAGGGAAGATGAAAAAACTCAAACCATTTAACCCATAACAAAGTATTATTAATTAAGTCTTTATCTTGAATGCCTGAAATCTGTGCTTACCTAGCTATTTCTTGTGTAAGTGTTCTATCCTTATATGTGAGCAGTCCAATATACCTTCCTTCAGATGAGCAGAGATTTAGAAAATATGCTTACGGGATTGAGTCCCGCATCGGGCTCCCTGCTCGGCGGGGAGTCTGCTTCTCCCCCTGACCCTCCCCCCATCATGTGCTCTCTCTCTCTCTCGCTCTCTCTCTCAAATAAATAAATAAAATCTTTAAAAAAAAATATGCTTACAATATTATATCTTTGTTTCTTTCTTCTTGGTACTGACTGTTTTTCATTTTTGTCATTTGTTAGAGAACCTCCAGCATGCAGGCCTCCAGCTCCAGGTCTGTGCACCTGAGTGAATGGCAGAAGAATTACTTTGCAATTACATCTGGCACATGTACCCCAGGACAGAAGGCAGATGCGTACCGAGCACAGATATTACGCATTCAGTATGCATGGGCAAATGCTGAGCTCTCCCAAGTCTGCGCCACCAAACTGTTCAGAAAATATGCAGAGAAATACTCTGCAGTTATTGATTCTGACAGTGTCGAGACTGGCTTGAATAACTACGCAGAATGCATTTCAACTTTAGCAAGATCTCAGCAGACTGACAGTGACAAGTGGCAGTCTGGATTGTCAATAAATAATGTTTTCAAAATGAGTAATGTACAGGAGATGATGCAAGCTGGCAAAAAATCCAGAGACTCTCTGTTGGCACCTGCCAGTGCATCGGTAGTAATCCATAAAGAGGCGCTTGTCCTCGATCCTCCTAAACTTAGTGTTTGTGGGGGTTCTGGGGAGAGTGGCCCATTAACTAACGCAGCTCCTGATACAAACAGGACCCAAGATATCCCAGAGAGCAGTCCTTCGAAGTGTCCTCAGGATGCTCAGCCACCTGTGCCGACTAACACCAGAAAGACCTGTCCTTCATCCTTAACACCGTTTGGTGACTTTGCCACTGCAAAAATCCATGCCACACCATTATTTGGAAATGCCAAGAAGGAAAATAACAGCTCTCCAAAGGCCAACGTAGGACTAAATATGTTCTCATCTAATCAGTCTTGTTTGCCTTCTGGCTTTGAAAATCCACGGGAGAGAAAAACTTTTTATGGTTCTGGCACCACTGATGCCCTTTCTGCCCCAGGAGTGAATAAGGCTTTTAGTAAAACAGAGGATAATGGCCAAAGGGAAGAGAGTAGCCTGCCTACTTTTAAAACTGCAAAAGAACAGTTATGGATAGATCAGCAAAAAAAGTACCACCAACCCCAGCGTGCATCCGGGTCTTCGTACGGTGGTGTAAAGAAGTCTCTGGGAGCTAGTAGGTCCCGAGGAATATTTGGGAAGTTCATTCCTCCTATACCTAAGCCAGATGGGGGAGATCAGAATGGGGGAATGCAGTATAAGGCTTACGGCGCAGGACCTGCAGAGCCAACACATCCAATTGATGAGCGGCTGAAGAACTTGGAGCCAAAGATGATTGAACTTATCATGAATGAGATTATGGATCATGGACCGCCCATAAGCTGGGATGATATTGCAGGAGTAGAATTTGCCAAAGCCACAATAAAGGAGATAGTCGTGTGGCCCATGATGAGGCCAGACATCTTTACGGGTTTACGAGGACCCCCTAAAGGAATTCTGCTCTTCGGGCCCCCCGGGACTGGTAAAACTCTAATTGGCAAGTGCATTGCTAGTCAGTCTGGGGCAACGTTCTTCAGTATCTCTGCTTCCTCTTTGACGTCTAAGTGGGTAGGTGAGGGGGAGAAAATGGTCCGTGCATTGTTTGCCGTGGCAAGGTGTCAGCAGCCGGCTGTGATATTCATTGATGAAATTGATTCCCTGTTATCTCAACGAGGAGATGGTGAGCATGAATCTTCTAGAAGGATAAAAACGGAATTTCTAGTGCAGTTAGATGGAGCAACCACATCTTCTGAAGATCGGATTCTAGTGGTGGGAGCAACCAATCGGCCCCAAGAAATTGATGAGGCTGCCCGGAGAAGGTTGGTCAAAAGGCTTTATATTCCACTCCCAGAAGCTGCGGCTAGGAAACAGATCGTGATTAATCTGATGTCCAAGGAGCAGTGCTGCCTCAGTGAGGAGGAAATTGCCCTGGTTGTAAGGCAGACCGATGGGTTCTCGGGAGCTGACATGACACAGCTTTGCAGAGAGGCGTCTCTCGGGCCTATTCGCAGTTTACAAACTGTTGACATCGCCACAGTAACACCCGATCAAGTTCGGCCAATAGCTTATATTGATTTTGAGAACGCCTTCAGAACCGTGCGACCTAGCGTGTCTCCTAAAGATTTAGAGGTCTATGAGAACTGGAACAGAACTTTTGGTTGTGGGAAGTGAAGGGGACACACGGGACACTTGAAATCTAAAGATGGCATCTTTGTAATGCAGCCTTCCCCACTTTTTAGCATGGGAAACTGGGAATTTATTAATTGTACTTTATAGTGTATATTTTGAATTCTATACCTCAAATAAAATAGTAACAGCTTAAATTTTACAATTGATTTAGCCTATGTTAATAGAAGCTTGAGTTTTCTTCCAGGTGTTACCTGATTGGGAGCCTGTTCCTACAAAACATGAATGAACGTTTTTCTTGGGTTTCAAAGCGGTCTTTGTTTTTGAGATGTACAATAGGATGACTAGTGAGCTCAGATTGAAACCCAAAAATCTCATTTGTGTCTGGGGTGGCATCTGATCGGTATGCATCTTCTGTTGAAGAAAGGGTCTTTTCTGAAGACCCATGTAACTCTTAGCATTGGCCAGTGTCGTGGTTTATGCTGGAGGCAGCTTACTTGCCGTTGAATGGATTTACGATCTCCCCAGACGCCAGAATGAAAGTGCCAGTGGTTTGTTCTGGTTTGTAACTGCTTACAGCTTTCTTCTATTACTTCTGCGTTCAGAAGTAGCCAGGTGTAATCCGATACCAGACACATATCCACAGAATCGAGAGATGAAGAATGCTGTGTTTTGCCAGGGGGTAGATGATGTTTAAAATTAATATTTTATTTGACACTACTTCACAGCCCTAGCATTGGTGTCTCAAACATAAGTGTTCTCAGATTTTTATAATGGATCATTGTGTTTTATAACGTAACAGGTGTTCATTGTAGAAGAGTTGGGGAAGAGAGACGAACAGCAAGAAAGTAAGAACCGCTGCCGCCCCACCACTTTGGAGAACACAGTGTCATTTCTTCCAGGCCTTTTGCACAGCAGAGGGATTGCACCACGTTCTCCCCTGTAGTCTGCTTTTTCCTTTACATCACCATCGCTTCCCGTGGGAACGTGCTGTGTTACCACATCTTCCCTCAGGATCCCACCATGTAGATGGACCATAATTTCGCCAGTCCTCTTGGGGGCATTTAGGGCAGCACGTTAGGTCTCCCTTTTGTTCATTGTACACAAAAACACACTGAATGCCTTTGTGATCTTTTTAAAAAATAAACACACATTTCTTGAGTAAAATTCTTGCATTAAAGATGCACAGTTTTAAGGCCTTTGGCATGTGTTCTGAACTGTCCCCTGGAAAAGTCATGCATATGTAGAATTCCCACCCGCACTGAGCCACAGTCCCTGTTTTCTGTGTCACCGGGAGCCATCACGCAGTTTTGTTAGCATTCCTCTTTCATTCATTCAAACAGTACTGGATTCCGGATGGTGTTCCAAGGGCTGAAGGCAGAGCAGTGAACAGCAGACCGAAATCCTGGGTCCCATGTAGGTGACATTCAAGTTCTCAGGTTTTCTCCTGACCATGATCTTGAAGAGAGGGTGTTTGATGCTTTGGATAGAGTGAGTTGAGACCGTTGTCTTAACTTTTATTCTTGGCCTGCCTTCTAGATTTGTGCTCCTTGAACAGCTTTGCTTTCGCCACTGTTACCTCTTCCCTTTGAAACATGTCATTGCCTTTTGTTAGAATTTGGACGTCTCTAGTTTTTAGTTAAATCTTTAAAATTGTAAAGCATTTCATACATTACTTTGTCCTGTTTCATTTCTGCATAAACAGCACTATAAGTAACCTTGGATTCCTAAGTATTTCTACATTTTCTTCCCTGATACTTACTAATTCTCTTTCAGTGCCCCGCCCCCCCCCGGATGTTAGAGTTACGGCAGCTGACCAGATAGATCATCAGCAGTTGTGTAGGAGGTGTTTGTGTCTTAGTTCACTCTGTAGCTTGGTCTCACTGTTTACTGCCGGTGTTTTTCTTGGCAGCCGCTCCCGATGCTCAGCTCCAACGCTCAGCTCCACTGGTCACCAGCCACGGGGCCACTTTCCTTGAGCGGAATTTAGCTTAGCTTTTGTCCCAGAGGAAATACCCAGGGTGGCCCAGCTCACCTTGGATCAGGCAGAGCCTGTGTCTCTGTGAACTCACTTCTCCTGAGGTGAGGTCTGCACTGTTCATGTGGGAATCTGATCTTGAAAGGAAGGATACAGCAGATATTTTGAAGCTGGAAAGAAAGTTTGAGCTGGAAAGTCACTTGGGGGTTGTTTCTGCCTTCTCCCTCATGGAAGCATTCTTTCTCTCAGCCTTCTGTGACTTGGAGAATGTTTCTGAGGCCTCTGGCTGGGAAACTTCCAGAAACTTAGATGAGATTTCTTTTTATCTCCACATTCTGATTGGGTATGAAAATCTGGGATCAGATTCTCTCCTCTTGAGGGTTTTCTTGGGGCTGCTCTGTCTCCACCATTGTGTCACTAGAGAAGTGGGCTCTAACTTGGTTTGTCGTATCTTCGGGGGATCCGTTTACTTCGTAGACACACACACCTTGTGCCAATGCATGAGCTCGCTTGTGTATCCATGCCTAAAAGTGTTGGCGGGAAAATAGTAGAGTCTTTAATATCAGTCCTTTTAAAATGTATATCATAGGGCGCCTGGGTGGCTCAGATGGCTAAGCTTCTGCCTTCAGCTCAGGTCATGATCCCAGAGTCCTGGGATCGGGTCCTGCATTGGGCTCCCTGCTGCTTGGGAGCCTGCTTCTCCCTCTGCCTCTCTCTCTCTGTGTCTCTCATGAATAAATAAATTTAAAAATATGTATCATACAGCTGATTTCATTTCATGTGTATTTGGGAAATTGTCTTCCAGTCTGTGGTCTCCTCCCATTTTGAAATTCTAATTCATTTCCTCAATTCTAAACCTCTGTAAAGTCCGTCTTCCACACTGACGCCTGATGAGCGGCGTCCTGGTAAAGTTTGCGCCTGGGCTTTGGGTCCCGGCTCTGCAGGCCATGGACATGTTCAGCCTCACTTCTAACGGGAGGATGTCTGCACCTGCCTTGTTGGAGAGTGAGGGTAAGATGCAGGTGTAGAACGCCTGGCTCGTGATGGCTCAAACATGGTGCATCCTTCTGTCTGCCTTGACTCTGCTTTAATTGCCTTGAAGGATCATTTTCTTTTCAGCTACTTTACGTTCCTGTGTACTATAGCTTTTTCTGCTTACTATTTGTGATATTTGCCTTTGATTACAGATACTGTGTCGTCTAAACTTAATGCAGTAAATCTAATTAAAAGATATCTTTTGTTTCTCTTCGAGACTGAAGAACTTTTTGGTAGATCCCAGATTATGATTTTCCACTTACTCCTCTTTAAGTCTTATTTATTGGTTTCCAGAATTTTTAAGGGACATTTATTGGTCCCCAGTGTTTTTAAGAGACATTTTAAAACCCACCTGCAGACATCTGATTGGAAGACAGGATTCTGTCCAGGTCCATGGCAAAAGGGCAGGTCAGATAAGGATACTTTTTTTTTTTTGAAGTTTTTATTTAAATTCTAAACTTCCAGTCAGTTAACATGCAGTGTAATATTAGTTTCGGGTGTACAATACAGTGATTCAACACTTCCCTACATCACCTGGTGCTCATCACAGGTGCCCTCCTTCATCCCCATCACCTCTCTCCCCATCCCCCACCCACCTCCCCTCTGGTGACCAGCAGTGTGTTCTCTAGAGTCAAGAGTCTGTTTCTTGGTCTGTGTCTCTTAAAGATACATTTTTTTAACTTCATAGATTCCTGGCCCTTGACCTCAAATCTGGAGTTGGTGGTGAGCAGGCCAGTGTGGAACAGCTGTTTAAAGTTTGCCTCAGGTGCCTGGCTGAAGGAGGCATCTTATGAGAATAGATGAGTCACCACTTCCAACTCTTGTCCCTAAATAAAACTTACCAATGGGCTTTATAAAACAGCAATGACTAATCGTGGACAGTTGGTAATACCCCCTCAGGTGACTGCTTTCTTAGCTCTAAGAGTCAGGATGTTGTATTCGATAATCCTGAAGACAAGCCCAGATTTGCTATTCTGTTATCAGTTACCAAATAGTTACCAATTTGACGAGTGCTTGCAGAGTACCAGGTGCTGGCACTGTGCTAAATACAAAAAAATACATAGTTCTCTAAATGTTACCTGTTTCAAGGTTACTAATTTGGCTCATGATAGAAACACATTCTTTACAGGAAGGAGCGCCTGGGTGGCTCAGTCAGTTAGGTGTCCAACTCTTGCTTTCAGCTCAGGACATGATCTCAGGGTCATGAGATCGAGCCCCGTGTTGGGCTCCATGCTCAGCTCGGAGTCGGCTTGAGATTCTCTTTCCCTCTCCCTCTGTCCCTCCCATTTGTGCTCTTTCTCTCTCTCACAAAATAAATCTAAAAAAAAAAAAAAAAACAAACTAGGAAGACATGAAGGGAGAGCTTTGGTGAAAGTAAGCATAACGTACCAATGTACCACTGAATATATGAATCGTGAGAAAGGGGAAAAATTTTAAAACTAGGAATTCCACGTAGGCTGGCATTTCAGCTGTGGTTCAGGATGCACCAGACCCTGAGTGCTTGGCCAGCTCGGGAGTCTTGGCCACCAGCAGGGTACCTGTGACTGAGGGGGCCTGCCCAGCCTGAGAAGATCCTAGAGCTCTCCTCATCCATTCTTCCCAGAAAGTTAGAGATTCAGGCTAAAAATAGAGGAGTCTCCTCTTCCTGGGACATGGCCAGAGCAGGCATCCTGAAGAGCAGAGCCTGTCGCCCCTTGTCTGCCCTGGACGAGTGGCAGGTGTGCAGCCCCAGAGAGGGACTCATTCACTTGGGGTCCCATCCTTTGGAGTCAGAGTTGCTCCTTATGTTTGTATCTAAGATGTGCTGCCCACTTGCTTCTAGGAAAAACAACAACAACAACAAAAAACTACACCAGCTTCTTTTTCTCCCAGAACAAAATATCAGCTTAATAAGAAAAGGTCTAATATGAAGCTTTTCATTTACAATAGTGGACTAAGCCACACATTAACCTTTTCCACTTACATGTGCAGAATCTTCACTGAAAGGAAGAAATAAAAAGTGACTCCATCACAGGGGTGCAGGGGAGGGGAGACACTGTTTTCAAATAAGACATCTGTGGTGTTTCTAGCAGTTACGGGGCAAATGGCGTTGAGTTCTCGAGACCCCTGAGCTGAGACCAGTGATCTAACAAGGGCATGGGAGACCAGCTGAGGCTGGTTTCCTGGTGCCCTGGTGGTTCTGGAGCTCAGA